GTTGATTTCGTACTGAATAAAATCTGAATTGTAGGAGAAATTTGGTTTTGTGATGGGTTGGATTGATGAAAAAAAGTAGGAGGTAGAGGTGTATTTAAATGAAATAGATTGTGTTTAGTAGATATGGTATAATAAATAAACGCAGGTAGAATTTAATTTTTGTTGTAATAAATCATCCGCCCAATGCAGAAGCGGTCTCATTTAATTTTTAAAGGCTTCCGCCCATTGAGTAGGCGGATGCATTGAAGTACATGCAGGCTCCGCCCATTGCTTCTGCGCCCTAGGCAGGTATTAATGCACGCTTCCGCCCATCCAAAGTGCGGATGGCAGACAAAAATAAACATTTCCGCCTATTGCATGTGCGGTGTGTCAGGACATTAGAAGGCTTCCGCCCATTGATTAGGCGGACCCTGCAAAACTGTGCATGCAGCCTGGGTCTACGTACGCAGCATGCATGCAGAGTAAATACCCAACCAATTTTTTGTTTTCCATTAAATGTTTTGAATAAAAACCCTACATTATTTCTCTATAAAAACCCTCATGTTTTCAACCAATTTACATCACACTCAATCTTTATCTATTATTTCTCATCATAATTTTACACTACATCTCAATTTACTATAATGTCTCTGTTAACCTATGGAGAGGAGCACCGAGGAACATTGTCGAACATCCTCCAATATGTAAGTCTTGAATATATTTACGTATAAATTTTTTAAAATTTTAAGCATATACTTCTAACATTAACCATATTCTAATATTAACTATTTTTTTTTAGAATGAGAAAAAATTTAGGCCTCGTACACACTCATATGTGCGCGTAGACGAAATGATCCGTCCATATTTGATGCAAGCGGGCTTTGGGCACGTACTCAACATAACGTCATATGGGGTGGATAGGAAATTTATTCTTGCTTTATGTGAAAGATGGCGTCCAGAGACACACACATTCCATCTTCCTACCGGTGAATCCACAGTCACCCTTGAAGATGTCCACATGTTGATGGGTTTACGTGTAAACGGTTTGGCAGTGAATGGGAGAACAAATGTTGATTACTCATTAACTCAAGAACTCTTGGGTGAAGAATTGCCCGAAAGAGCTAGAAAGGGCCAATTCGTCAAAATTACTTGGCTCCGGGAAATATATGATGCATTTGAATTGAACCAAGATTCCCCCCTAGAACAAATTCATAAAAAAACTAGAATTTATATTTTATTGTTATTCGCTTGTTTATTATTTCCTGACACAAATGGTAACACAATACATCTAATGTATTTACCATTGCTAGCTGACTTTAATAAAATAGGTAGATACAGTTGGGGATCAGCAGTTTTATCGCATCTATACAGAAACCTCTGTAGATGCGCCAAAAAAGATGTTCATAATTTTGCTGGTTGTTCAACACTAATACAAGCTTGGGGCTGGTCCAGGATGCCGAATCTAGCGCCTAGGAATCGTAATCCTTTTCATTTTCCGTACGTAACCAAGTAAGTCGTTACTACTCCTTTGTCTTAAACTTATATATTATGTGAACAATAATTAACTATTACATATTTTTAGATGGTCTGCCTATGGGATGGATTACGAAAAGACTCCTCATCATTGTGCACCTGGCTATCGGACTTTCATCGATCATTTTGAAGAATCTGATGTAATATTCTTAACCATATTTTAAGTATTACATATTTTATATGGTTCGTTAAACTAATAACTGATTTTTTTAACAGTTTACATGGAGGCCCTATCTGGGACTTGATGATACCGATCCGACCGATAGTCACGTGTGGAGTGCAAAAACATTTATCATATGTTTTACTACTGTTGAAATGCACCATTCTGATCGGGTAAAACTTCAATTTGGCATTAAGCAAGGCATACCGGATGCTCCACAGTGCATGGAGGAGTATCACAAAAGTGTGGTGAACGATCAATGGGCATATAGCAATTGGAAAGATTGTTACAAGCAGGAGCGTCGTCAATGGCATAACCGCGAAAATAAAGTCTTACAAGGAGATGTCATGTCAGAAGAATGTAAGCCAAGTAAGGAATACATGCAATGGTATAAGTCTGTTACAAATTTGTATCTGTCACCAAACAACTTTTTGTATGACCCTCGTAATTTCCCAACATCTTCAAACGTCCAACACACCCAACCATCATCAAGCACTTACACCCAACACAACCAAGAACCTCTCTTCCCAACACAACCATCTTTTACGCAACAACCATTCTTCCCAACACAACCACCATTTACCCCAAGCCAACAATACCATCAACAAAACCCTTCTTCTAACCCAACCCAATGGGGCACCCAACAACAAAACCCTTCATCTAACACCACCCATTGGGGCACCCACCAACAATATCCTTCATCTAACCCCACCCAATGGGGCACCCACCAACAATATCCAACCTCTAACCCCACCCAATGGGGCACCCAACAACAATATCCTTCCTCTAACCCCACCCAATGGGGCACCCAACAAACCCCACAAAATCCCAACTATCAAACACCCCAACAACAAATGCCTATTCCCCGACCACAACAATTTACCTCCCAAGATTGTTACCAACCCTCAATAAATAGCCCAATGTCTTCTAATCCCATACCAAATTGGAATTGGGAGGGAACCAGATTAAGTTATGGCAGTGCAGCCGAGACAGACTTTACCAATGAGGACATGATTGAGGAATTTTTAATGGGCGGCTGTGACGCGGGACCTTCAACTTCAACTCAACCACAAAATGAAGAAGGAAATCGCAGAACAGGCCAACGTACTAGACGAGCACCTGCTTGTGGAACTCACCAACGATTGACACGACCCGGTCAAAATCGACAGTAGATGTGATGGGGAGATTATATATGTTAAAATGCAAAAAATTAATTTATGTCCTTTAGTTAAATTATTGTTTATTTATAGTATATTTTGTTTAATTAAAGTGTATTTTATTTAATTTATAATGTATATTATTTAATTATATTAATTTAATTTATAATGTATATTATTTAATTATATGAATTAAATTTATAATGTATATTAATTAATTATATTAATTTAATTTATAATGTATATTATTTAATTATATTAATTTAATTTATAATGTATATTATTTAATTATATGAATTTAATTTAAAATGTATATTATTTAATTATATGAATTAAATTTATAATGTATATTATTTAATTATATTAATTTAATTAAAAATGTATATTAATTAATTATATTAATTTAATTTATAATGTATATTATTTAATTATATGAATTTTATTTATAATGTATATTATTTAATTATATGAATTTAATTTATGATGTATATTATTTAATTATATGAATTAAATTTATGATGTATATTCTTTAATTATATTAATTTAATTTAAAATGTATATTATTTAATTATATGAATTTAATTTATAATGTATATTATTTAATTATATGAATTTTATTTAAAATGTATATTATTTAATTATATGAATTTAATTTATGATGTATATTATTTAATTATATGAATTAAATTTATGATGTATATTATTTAATTATATGAATTAAATTTATAATGTATATTATTTAATTATATTAATTTAATTTATAATATTTATTATTTAATTATATGAATTTAATTTAAATGTATATTATTTAATTATAATGTCATATGAATTTAATTTACAGAATTAAAAAAAAAAAACGTTTTGGACTCATCCGCCCATCTAATGGGTGGAGCCTCTCTTTTTTTATAAGCATCCGCCCAATGCATGTGCGGTGCCCTAGGAATATACACTCTTCCGCCCATTGCATTGGCGGATCAGTTGTGGCAAAAACGTGTTTTGTTTGAAAAGAGAGTATATTGGGAAATATGAAAGTGTGAGAGGGTATATTGGGATTTAAATGCTAAAAAGAGGGTATGTTGATAAAAAATTCTATAAAATATGTACTCACAAGATGGCAAATCTATAAAAAAAAAAGAGACAAATTTCTAGTTTTTGGTTTAGATTCATTCACTACCTAAAAAATGAGATAAGGCATTGTATATGTTAGATTTTGTTCTTATTCATAAAACAATGGTTGCAACCAATAATAAATTTTTTGGTTATTAAAATATTAAAATTTTACATGAAATCATGTTAGTTTTGTTGCGAATAATTGGTCTTAAATCTAGATAAAAAAGAGTTTTAAGTAATCAATAACAAATATAAAATTTTATTGAAAGATTCTAAAATTATCAAATTAATAAAAATATGATTTTGATAGATTATTATGGCAGAATTTAATTCATATGTTTAATTTTATTTGATAAAATAATAGTTGATGATTATTTTATTAAAAATTTTATATAACTTAAATTTCACAGGCACACCAGAACTCATTATTTCAAATTCAGATGTACATGAGATTTAAATTGAAATTAATATGTGCAGCCCACAAAATTTATGACGATAAAGTCCAAAAGCGAAGGAAGAGAGCGAATGCGAGAAATAAATATTTTTTGATTTTGATACTAAACAGATAATTTCATCTGAGAAATATTACAAGTCGCAGGTCAATTAGATGATTATCTGCGATCCACATTATATTTTTTATTTTTCGATTTAAACTGCTCTCACTACAAAAGAAAAAAAGAATACCGTTACCAGATATTTAAACACACTTTTACTCTCACACCACTTTTCATTTTCTCAATTACTAATTATTATTCTCTCTATTTCTTTTAAATTGTCATTTTTTAATTCTTTGATGGAATAAAAAGCTTATCAACTTAATCAAACAATTGACAAATGATATGACCAGTATGCTTCTCTTCCAAACATTCCATGTCCAACAAAATAACAATTTTTTTAAACATTATTATTATTATCATTTACACAATACCTTTATCTTTATTTTCTCTTTAACTACTTTTACTTTATTTGCAAGACCCAAAATCTTAAACAACTGTAGACAAAATTCACCTACAGAAACACTACCAGATCTCACATCACACTTCACACAATAAAACCAAACAACAACCCCTTCCACTTTGCTGACCACGGTCACCCTTTGTTCAACTGCCCGACTCATCTCATTCTCACACACAAACCAACCTGCCCGTTGCCCTTTTTCTCACAACCTAAGATTATTATTAGTATTTAACTATTTAATAAAGCTTTCATATGTTGTCTCTTTTACTGCGCTTTTTTCTGTTCAAATTCGTTACTTTGTTTTCTCTTCTTGTTACATAGAACTACGAGATTGCTTTCTCTTTCTATCTCTAACCTTACTGCATTGTCTTCTTCTACTTATTGCTTCAGAATCTCTTCTCACTTCCATGCATTTTTCATTTATTCTTCTTCTTCTTTCTCTCTCTAAATGAACTTGTTCTTCTTTCTTCGCTCTAAATATTTTTAACTGTTTTCTGAGGTGTGTATCAAGTACAAGGGTCAAAATGGGAGATGAAAGTTCAAAGAAAAACAAGGTTTTTTTTTTTGTTTTTGTTGATTATTGTTGTTATTTGGTTATGGAAATGAAATTTTCAATGTTTTTATTGTGATGGGTTTGAAACTTTGAATATTGCAAGATGTTAATTTTGTGTCTGTATGATGTTTGATGAAATAGCTCTCATGGTCGAAGAAAATGGTGAGGAAGTTTTTTAATATCAAGAGCAAATGTGAAGATTCTATAGCTGATGATGTTGTTTATGGAGGTTGGTGTTTTTGTTTTTCTTCAAAACTCTCTTTGTAATGAAATCAGTTACTATTGTTGTTTTGTTTCATTATGTGAATTTGAAGGTTGTAACACTGATTTTCTTCTGCAGGAAGTGAGGTTGAATATGGAAGCAGGAACAGCTTCTCTGAAAGAGAGCCATGCACAATCAAAAAAAGCAAAACAGGTAAAAAGAATCAATCAAAATTCAAAACCATTTCTTGAACTATGCCCTTTTGATCTTCTTGATAGTATTAGTATCATCGAAAATGCTGACATTTTTGCATTACTATGAACAGAGAAGTTTAGTAGGAACAGCAGTCAGGTTAGGCGAGGAAGAATGAATCTTGATCATCCTCGAATTATTGATGTGCAGAACTATAGGTATACTAGTTCTCCAATTTTACCTTTTTTAGCAAGAAAAAAAGCTTTCGTTCCGTTTCTCATGAATTGTGTGAATATTGAGCAGCATTTTTGTAGCTACATGGAATGTAGCTGGAAGATCCCCACCAAGTAATTTGAATGTAGATGATTGGCTTCATTCCTCACCACCGGCTGACATTTATGTTCTTGGGTAAGAATTGTTGCTTGTTGGTATATATATAGTCTTTAATCGAAGTTTACATTATCTTTTCGATTAAATATGTGTTATGTCTTGATAATTTGTCTCGAATTTTACTTTTAGTCAATCTCTACAAATTACAAAAAAATGAATATTTAAGGCTTAACTGTTTTACCAATGATATATTTTTCTATTCTACCTGTTTCTTACAGATTTCAAGAGGTAGTACCATTGAATGCCGGTAATATTCTAGGGGCAGAGGACAATGGCCCTGCCAAAAAATGGCTGGCTCTTATCAGAAAGACTTTAAACAATCTTCCGGGAACAAGTGGGAGTAGTGGATGTTATACACCATCTCCAATTCCTCAGCCAGTTGTAGAGCTGAATGCAGATTTCGAGGGATCAGCTAGGCAGAAGAATTCGTCCTTCTTCCACAGACGATCTTTCCAGACGGCTTCTAGTGGTTGGGGAATGGACAATGACCCTTCAAATGTTCAGCCACAAGTAGATCGAAGATACAGTGTATGCGACCGTGTAATTTTCGGGAACAGGCCTAGTGACTTTGATCCTAGTTTAAGATGGGGTTATAGGCCTAGTGATTATTCAAGGGCAAGTGACTACTCGAGACCGAGTGATTATTCAAGATGGGGTTCGTCCGATGATGATAACGGCCTTGTGGATTCACCGAGTACAGTCTTATTTTCACCAATGTCAACTAATGGTGGATCTGCCTCTAATGAAGATGGATATAGTATGCCGGGACATTCAAGGTACTGCCTTGTTGCAAGTAAGCAAATGGTGGGAATTTACCTTACCGTATGGGTAAAAGGCGAACTCAAAGATCATGTTCGAAACATGAAAGTATCGTGTGTTGGCAGAGGATTGATGGGTTATCTTGGAAATAAGGTGAGTTTTAGCTTATTATGACTCGTGACAATCCTGACTCTTATTTTTTCTTTTGATTAATAAATTTACGACGAAAATGATGGTCACTTCTGTGATGATTAGCTTAATTGAGAGTTCTTTTGGTTGAAATTTGCAGGGATCCATCTCAATTAGTATGTCTGTGCATGAAACAAGCTTTTGCTTTATATGTAGTCACTTAACCTCAGGACAGAAAGAGGGTGATGAACTTAGAAGAAATTCTGATGTACTGGAAATTCTTAAAAAGACTAGGTTTCCTCGTGTTCATGGCGTGGACAACGAGAAATCTCCTCAGACAATCCTCGAGCATGAGTAAGAATCTGAGTAACCTATTGAATAACTACTTAATTAGAATGCATTCTATAACAATTTTATTTCTTATTGTATTTTCTTCTCATTTGTGTATTCCCATTTTAAATTCATTAATGTAGTCGAATTATATGGCTTGGAGATTTGAATTATCGGATCGCTCTTTCCTACCGGTCTGCGAAGGCACTTGTTGAGATGCAAAATTGGAGAGCATTGTTAGAAAATGATCAAGTATGTCTCTTTAACCTCATCAATAATCCCATGTTTATTGTTTTTCCTCCAATGTAAATATTGTCTAACAAACTTAACAAGCCTTAACTATTGACACTCCTGACAGTTGAGAATAGAGCAAAAAAGAGGCCGTGCATTTGTGGGATGGAACGAAGGGAAGATATATTTTCCTCCAACATACAAGTATTCAACTAATTCAGATCGATACTCGGGAGATGATATGCACCCCAAGGAGAAAAGGAGAACACCTGCATGGTAAGATTTCTTAGAATTTGGATTAAGCTTAGTTCAACTCTACAAAAGCGGCTTATATACACACTTTTCAGTCCTTATTTGATTAAATGTTGAACTCTTAACAAGATTATCACATAGCTTAATGGAATTTAGAAGACATTCACTATAAATGCTAAAAGTCAATTGTATACCATGGAAAAAATAGATGTTACAACTTATGCTGACATGAATATTTTTTTTTATAGGTGTGACCGAATTTTATGGTTTGGAGAAGGTCTCCATCAGTTATCTTATGTTCGCGGGGAATCAAGATTTTCAGACCATAGACCTGTTTATGGCATATTTTGGGCTGAGGTTGAGTCAACTCATGGAAAATTGAAGAAAAGTATGAGTTGTTCTGGTTCCAGAATTGAGGTGGATGAACTTATGCCATATTCCGGGGGATATACTGAACTAAACTTTTTCTAAAGATATGGAAGGCCGAACCAGAAACGTGTCCGTCCCTAATCAAGTACTTTATCTATTCCTTACACACTCTCATAATCATGCTTGTAAGATAGTGGAACTTAAGCCTCTTAGGTTTGTTTCTTTTCTTATTTTTATTTATATAAGCTCATTCAAATACAACATCCAAATAGAAAATTAAAAGACTATACACAGAACCCTAGGCAAACTTGACCCTTCCCCAAAAGGGGCCCCAAATGTTTCCTTATGATATTGTTGGTTAGACCAAAAGTACAAGATTCTGAGGCTGTAACCGGTTTATATAGAATTGAACACAATAGAATGGAATATTGGATTATGCAATCAAAACAACAACCTAAAGAATATATCAACATCATCTAAAGAATATATCAACATCATCTTTTCCATTAATTAGCCTGTTTAAGTTGACTTATTTGAGCCTATCTAGTATTATAAACACTTGTGAGACCGTTTGGAAGAGGTCATGAAAACACCTTAAAACATCTCCATAAGCTGTTTTCAACTTGTTGCTACAAACTCTACAAGATAGCTTATACGAGAATAGTTTGACTTTATTTCATATTTTGTGATTGTGATAGCTTATACGTAAACACACATACGATAAATACTTGTGTTACAAGCACTTAATTAAGTCATTTTCCAACCAAGGTTGTGTATCATGCATTATTAGATATATGAATTAATTTCATGAATTTGAAAGCCAACATAAACAAATTATGTTTAAAGTATAGCATGAGAAGTCTATATCTCATTCTCTTCTACTTTGAAGTCCTTTTGTTCTATTCTCATTGTCAATACAAATATTCTTTTTTACTTGAATTAGAAATTTTACATGCGCCTGTTACTGTTTCAGCACAATGGTCCCCATTTACCAATAGGGATTTTACTTTGAAGAAATTCTTTCAATGGAGGGAGATAGATAGGGACAACCCATTTCCCACATACCGAAAAAGGTTAGTTTTTTCTTCTCTCTTTCATGCTTTTTTTCTTTGTTCTGCTTTTGCCTCATTTCTTTGTCTAATTTTGCTTCCACTTTATCTTTTTCAGTTTACAATCTCTAGTTTTGGTGCTTTCCCTAACACATGATCAATACAACACATCATCTTGATACCAAATTAACAAACACTCAAAGTTTCCATTCTTACAATCATTAGGTACTACTTCTACATTGTTGTTACTAAATATTAAATTATTACAGTAATGTTAGTTTATGTTTACTTTTAATTAACAACAATAGATAGTACATGCTTACTAATGATCAGAGCTTTTTTTATTGTGCAGGTAGTTGAACAGAAGATTCTTTTTTATTGAAGATTTTTTTTAATTGATTTTAGGGAATATTTATGATGACTGCATGAAGGTGGAAGATTGTCAGAATAATCATTTGGCACTAACTTTATTTAATGTAATGTAAAGAGAATGAGAGTTTTGATGTATAGTGATTGCTGCTTGCTGCCACAGTATAAAAAGTTATTGAAGTTCATAATTGATTCCAGAAATTCTGTTGTGCTGAGTTCTCTGTCTCTGTCTGCAATCTGCATGATAAGTTTTTACTGATAAAGTTGGTTTTGACATCAAAATCAAATAGTAAAGCACTATTGTTGCCGAGACTCTTCTTTTTCGTTATATTTGTAAAGTTTTAAAAATGAATAAATGAGATGTCACAGGTTTAAACTTGCACCCGTGCAGTCTAATGTTCCTTCACGGTCAACGGAGTTGGCTTAACGGGACACTGGAGCTCTATTTTTTACTATTGAGGAACAGTATTTGAGTATTTAACAAAACTGAAAGAGGCATGCAAGTTTGGAGGGAAAAAATGTTGGAAGTTCTAATATACAAAATGGCCCTCTCTTCTTTCAAGATGCTATTTACATACCTTTCAATTGATGTTGTTTACTTTTGACTAGATGGACCTTAGTTACTTACTTTACCTTATTACCTGGTTTTTTGGTGTGTGTGTGTGTCTATTTAGGATCCCTAAGAAAAGTTGAAACACTAACAATTGCAGAAAAGGACTAATGCTAAATCATTAATTGAGTTCTATAATATTGGCTCTGAGCTAAATCAATAAAAAAAAAGGCAACTTCTAAATCATCTATCATAGCCAAATGGTGAAAGGACGACAGGAAGAACATATTAGGCTTTTATGTCATAGACAATTCTTAAATACAAAAGGTCTAAATCAAATCAATAACTAAACACATCCTTTGTGTAGATTGAAAGAGTAAACACTAAAGAAGATGTTACATGGTATCTAGGAAACCAATGAGATACATTTATAAGGCCAACATATAGAAGGTTGAAAGCCACTATTAGTGCACTTGGGGCAAGGTTACTATGCCTCAATGGGAATCGTGAGTTAGAATATTTATATACTCAACCAAACAAGTCAAATATATAAGAAATTCATCAAAATATGATGATATTTGTTTCAATTCAAGCAAAGATTTCTTCAACAGACACACTTTAATTTTTTTTTTTCTATTCTGATTATTACATGTAGATTGTCTCGTCTAGGTCCCATGTAAGAATTTGGTCTTCGCATTCATTTTCTTCAACTCAAGATTGTACTTATTAAAAAACAACATGAGTAGTCTTATTGAACAATGTTCTACCTCCAATGAGAAAATATCATTGTGAGCAATTTCTCCAACTTGAATAAAACTCTTGTCACAAACGTTGCCTCTTCAATTTCAAGAGGCCCTTCATTCTTCTTGAAGATCGATTTGCATCTAACCACTATTAGTTTCTTAGATAGATCTACAAGTTCTCATGTCTAATTCTTCTCCAATGAATTAATTTTCTTGTTCACTCTTTTTAACCATTTCTGACTTTCATTGCTCTCAATTGCTTCCATGAAAGTCTACGGTTTTGAGTTTGCATCTTTTAAACTTCACTTAGAGCATATCTAATTATATTGGTATTGTCGAATCATTGAGGTGCAACAATTTCTCTCATCCCTCTATCTATTTCTTGTTGATAGTCTGGAGCCACTATTGTTTTTCTCTCTCTAGAATTCGATGGTAGAAAACTAACATCTTTTCCTCTTTCGTTTCGCTAGTGAAAATGATCCACTTAAAACTGAATTTTCTCAATCCCTTTTTCTAGGTCTCTATTCTCTAGGTCCTTGCTCACCATACCCATACGGGTTATATAAAAATTCACATCCTTACTTATTTGGGAATTTTGCTTCTCCATTATCTATCTTCCGCATCTTGTTTCCTTTCACACCTTGTGTGCATGCAATAAAGACACATTTTAGAGCCATAACATAAAACATGTATTTCTTGATATGTGCACAATTAGATTAGATTTTCTCACTCTAAGCGTCCACATGCGTCTTGAAATCTTTTATTTTGATGGACATATATATTGTAGTGTTATATTTGTGAGAGTTCTAAATAGGAGCGATATTAGAGTCCTCGCCTAGTGAGGTGTCGCCCATAGGATACTTATACGGACTATGGGGTCTCATATACTATTACCACCCCACTAGTCATATAAGAATGGGTTATACCACGACTTTCTAGAAAACACGTAGCTAAAAGTCTTTCCTAATCAAGGGGGGAAAATTACTGCTTCTTAGGATTTCTTAAACTTTGACCCACAAACCTCTATAAATATCTAACCCTTTTGGGGTATGAGACAAGTCACATTTTACCCAGCATAACTCTTATACACATGACCTTTCACCTCACAGTAGTTGTCCCTCTCATACCACCATAAAAGCCATAAACTTATCCCAGAAGTATGTCAAGGGAGATTTATCTCGTGGATCAAGGGCGATTATTTTCGTGGATCAGACAAATACAGTTCCCACGGGCGAGATGACCTAGTGAACTCCAAGCCCAACAAGCCAAAAGAGGTATCCACAGACAAGGATAAAAAAAGGCTTGCGTTATACGCTCAATAATATTGCACAAGGATTTGTCGGAGGCAGGGATGTGAAACCTTGTTTTGCAAGTAACTTCTAGGTGATGTGCCTTTAATGAGAATAACAACTTTTGATGATGACAACTCATGATGTCAACTAATTTCTAATGATGCCAATTAGTCATTGATGACAATAACTAAACTCAAGCATAAAGTGGTTAAAGTAGTTAAAGATGCAAATCAGGCTATTAGGGTTTGATGGACTTGAATCTCTAATGATGGAAACCAAATGAAATTTGACTCAAGCCTCATCTCAAGTGAATGCAAGAAAGTGTCTACAAGATAGAAACATCTAACGAGACTTGAAGTATGTGAAAGCATTACTCGACACGTTTGAGTGAACATATTGTTAAAGCGTAAGGGATTTCTCTTAAAGTGCATGGTTAATCACACACACGCACACATAAACGAGTTATCAAACTTATTTTTCTCAAGAAAATATTTTGGTAAATGCCTTAAGTCGTGTCAGATGAGTTGGAAGCTATTAGAAAAGCTATGAGCAAGTGTTTCCTTTTTCCAATCGATTGAGTTTTCTTCCAATCGATTGGGATAGTTCAAAAAATATGCCATAAGCGATTAGGACAGAACCTTAATGATCGACAATAACTAAATATTGTTTCTTTCCTTTTTGATCTTGTTCCAATTGGTGCATGTTGTAAATCGATTGACAAGTAAAAATGGCCCTAAAACATTTCCTTTTTTCTTCAAACCTCTAGCCTATAAATAGAGGTCACTTCCCATATATTTTCACATCCAGAAAAAATGATTTTATTTCTCAATTCTCACCCTATTTAAAAATTCTTTTTGTTTACTTTCTCTCCCTCAAAATTTAGCCATACTGCTTTTTTCACGAAAGTCGTTTTATAAGTGAGAAAGTTGTAATTCTGTAAGGGTAGATTTGTAAAGTTCCTACAATTTTTTTTTGTTTTATCTTGCTGAACAACTTATCCATTTATGGATTATTTGTATAAGTTCAAAGCTAAACCATTAAAGAAACATTAGTTTGAGGATGGTGTGATCAAGTCCTTGTTTAAATTCAAAAGTTTAGCTCGCATAAAGCTTTCAAAGGTTCGAGATTAGCCCATGCTAAAATCTCATAGGTTCTTGGTTATCCCGGTATAAAAATAAGTTTAGGTTAAAGCTAATCCAATGATAAAAACTTGTTTAGGTTCGAGATTACCCTGGTGGTAAAATATCTCAGGTTCTTGGTGAGCCCCATATAAAACCAAGGTTAAGTTCATGAGTTCAGCCGGTGTTAAAAGCTCTTCAAGATTCAAGATTAGCCTGTGATAAAATCTTGTTTGGAAGCTTGAAAACTAGCTCCTCTGAGTTTCTTGTGGAAAGGAGATTAATAGTTTTGATCCATCATTTGGAAGGAAGACTCACTGTTTCACTCCTCATTTGTTGTTTAATTGGAAGTTAACTTCATTTTCCTTATATAATGGGGTTCGACAGTTTAACTTACTAAAAACTCTTACATTTATTAGATACTCTCAATATCAAATCTCAGGGACAAGACTAAGTCAGTTTTTACTGAACCTATATAATCCCTTGGGGTCTTGTCTCTTCCCTTAACTATTTATTTTCTCCACTTTATCTTCTGCAATTTTATTTTCCACTGCTAAAATATAAACCTTTTCTGAAAATATTTTCGAACTAATTTTGATCCGAAAAGTTTTTCAATCTCAAGTTTTTCCGAAATACGCAATTCACCCCCCTCTTTTGTGTGAAGTCACATGTCCAGCAAGTGGGATTAGAGCCTAATTCATGTTTTAGGATTATTCAACTCAGGAGGAAGATGAATTTCAACAAGAGATAAACATACCACCACTTTTTAATAGCAGTATATTTGATATATGACAAGCTATGTTTAAAATTTTTATTTAAAGTATAAATGATGAATTAAGGAAAATTGTAATCAAAGGTTCATTTATCCCTACTTACCAAGTAAATGGAAAAGTAGTAAATAAACTCGATTCCTTTTGGACCAAAGAAGAAAAGAGAAGACATAAAATAGATTTCAAAACCAAGAGATTTATAGCAATGTCTCTAAATGACACCAAGGAAGTAGGAAGATTATGGAAGAACTTGTAGAAGTCGTGAGACTAAAATAGAGTAAGTAAATAAAATGAGAAGCTTTTTTAATGGGTTAAAACCATAAGAAACATTTAGTATCACTCATAATTTTGAAAATGTCAAGACGCTTCTAGCACATGTCACTGATGTTTAGTGTCTCGAAAAATAGGTCATCATTGCTTACATTAAATAGAAGTAAGCATGACCATCTGAATGATTGATGTTTGACATCCTGGTTAATCAGGAGACATCTAAGAAGGGGGTGGTGACTCTTATGCAA